GACAACAACGAAGCATCGCGCCAGCCGAGCAACCCCGATGTCTTTGACGACGACTACGAAATCGACCCCGACGAGGATGATTTCATGCCCTCCGTCTCGGATGGCTTCCGACCAGCCAACGCGAGCCAGCCCTGGCAGGGCGACCGCCAAAATCACGACCGGATAGACGCGCTGCAACGACAACCATCGACATCGAAGGCGCCCGAGAATCACCAGGGCGACCTGCGAAGGACGGCAACGCGAAACAGCACGGCCAAGGTGCGGGATTCGATGACGCAAGACGGTGGCCGACCGCCCCTCAACCGAGGGCCCAGCCACCACAGGCCCCTTGGACATCGCGACTCTGTGAGTTCTGCGGGATCCTTTGCGACGACGAGCAATTCCGAGAACCCGTTCGAGACGGGCCCGAGCCACCCATATGGCATGTACCCACAGCTATCAATGGCACGGCCACTCAGCGTAGCAACGAGCTCTACAGAACGCCAACCACATCGATCAATGTCACTGCAGCGGCCGACACATCCCTATGCCATGTACTCGCAAAGCGGCATTGTCGACGAAGAGTCACCAGACGAGCCAGCCCAGCCACCTCCACCTCAGGTCCAGTCGACTATTCCCGTAGGATTCCCGGGCCTGAACAACGGTTACCACAGAGTGCTCGGGCCGGATGGCGAGGAGCAAGATATCATCGGACCCGACGGACACACCGAGCAGCTGCCGCCGTACTCAAGATATCCAGAGGAAGGACCCACCAAGGCTTCTTTGGCAGCCGAGGCAAGCGCGTCGTCGCGTGTCATACCCGCGCCCGTCCAAGTTGACGCAGAGGATCCTTTCAACACACCCGCATCTCCTGTCTCGCCGCTGAGCACTACCTCGTTCTCGCCGCCCCCTCTACCTGCCGTTCCCTTGCTCCCGTCCGTCACACCCGCCCGGTTGCCACCTCAGAGACCGGAAACCCAAACCGGCAATCTTGCGGCTACCAACTCTGCCGCTGCACAAAGTAGTACCGTACCAGCAGAACCCTCCGACTCGTCCTCTGCATCTCTACTGGCGTCTGAGAACCACTTCTCGGAGAAGGCGGAGCCAGTCGAAGGCAAGGTCAGCTGGCGTAAGAGGAAACTATGGGGAAGGGTGCCTATGGGCGTCGCGCTTGTGGTTCTTATCCTCATACTAGTATTCTCTGTCGCCCTCGGAGCAGCCATTGGTACCTTTGCTGCCAAGAAACACAATGATGATGACGACCAGAATGAAAATGGCAGCCCTCATGAGGAAGCGTAAGTACTCACGATCCATCAACGAAAACATCTACTAACTCTCGCTAGACAACCACAGGTCACGGGTCAAAATGGATCTCTTTTCGACGCCGTTCCCATTTCAACACCGTCTGGCCTCTTGCCACTACCAACAGGATCCTTTGCCCTTCCTCTGGGCTTACCACAATACGGACAGTCGGGATGCTTAACACAAGCAAATCAGTATTCTGCATGGTCATGCAGGATGACTTTCGCTCCGCTCGTCATAACTATCAATGATACCGTCATTGGTGGTGAGATTCAACAAGTTGCGTCCATGGGTAGCGGACCTTCGGTGCCGTCGAACTCTATACTATATGGCCTTCAGACTCCTGTGCTTGATACTAAGCCGATGGAGTTGGTACTTGATTTGGATTTCAAAGCCTACGGTCCAGCCTATCATTTTTCTGCTCGATACGATAAGCTAGTCATATTGTCACCCACCGAGCTCAGTACCGGGTCAGGACTCTCAAAACGACAAGATGAGAAATACAGACAGCGCTTCAAAGTTCAACCTGGTGATACGCCCTGGTATTGCTATTGGAACGAGACATACATCGAGGGCTACATCTACGCTGACGACAACTCGACGGCAGCCACATTTACCTCGTTCCCTACCCAATGGCCCACGCCTACACCCACGCCCGACCCAACCGACGATGCGGCTGTAAATGTTGCTGTCGCTGTGCCGACTGAGAGTAGTGTCTCTACCAGCTCTACACAAACTACTACCGCGTCTCCAACGAATTCCCCTGTCAACCTGGCCGCCCCATCACCCGTTCGCGCTCGAGATTCCGAGTCAGATGCTTCTTCAGCCCCTCGCATGGCACCTTATCCCCGGATCGTCAAGATAGAAGAACGCCGGCTCCCTGGGGCGTCACAACCATACTGTCAACAGATGCTCATGCTCGATAACGGCGAGATAGTAACATCACCTAGCCCGAACGACAGCCCAATCAGAATATGGCTACAAGAGTCAGATCCCAGCTACGAAGAGTACTTTGCCGCTCAACCTTCGCAAACCATTACATTCGACAGGAAGAGCAAGCGCGAGAATCTTGTTGATCTTCAACGCCGCGTAGACCCTGATGATGCTTGTCACTGTCAGTGGATGTTCAAGTAAACGACGAACCTGGTTTAGAGCGCTTCTTTTTCTTCTTGCAACGATGTCATAGCATGATTGTCGATCTCATTTCTTCTCCACACGGGTATTGGGTCCATTTCGCCTGTTTGGTGTTCCGCGGCGTTTTGTTAATACTGACTCACGAGTCTCTACGCATCACTGGCATATTTCGGTTTCTTTTTTACACATCTCTTTTTGTCTAGTCAAACATGTAGCATGCTATGTTTATAGCTTTCGCATTTCTGTATCGTCTCTGGGACGGAAAGTAGGCCTTGTGTTTTGGGGCTACACTGGCGCATATTGTCGCGGCGCTGCTTCTGTATATATTGCCATGGGGGAGTTCAGAACCGCGAGTACAAATTTCGCGTGAGTTCATATTGGAAAGGGATAGATAGAAGAACAACATTAGTTATATTGTAAGGGTTTCTATTGATGTTGGTACTGTGATGCTCATGCTGACTTGACAGCGAACGTCAACCACACCATGAATGCCGTCTAAATGCGTAATCTATTCTATACAATCTGATTTTGCTGCAACCCAACAAAAGAAGTTCGCAATCATGCCTCCATCCCCCTCTCAAAAACCCTAACTCCAAATTTCCACACTTCATCCACAACAAACCTCTTCTCCCCACCCTCATTCTCCTTCAAATCCAACACGCACAGATCCGCATCCGCCCCCTCATCCAAACACCCCTTCACGCTCTCCAACCCCAACATCCTCGCCGGCGTCTCCGTAACCGCCCTCAGCGCCTCCGGCACCGTACTACCCGTCCAATTCAAAAAGTTACTAACGCAATCCACAAGCTGAATGCTACTCCCCGCAATCTTGCCGTTCTCCTCAAGCGTAAGAAGGGGACCTTGTTTAACAATCCTGGACCCGTTCGTCCACTCATACGTCCCATCCGGCATACCCGCCAACCTCATCGCATCCGTCACCAACACCAGCCCGTCTGGATGCGCGTTCCACGCTATCTTTATAGACGTGGGGTGTAGGTGTATGCCATCCGCAATAATCCCGAAATACGGTTTGGTGATTGAGGTAGAAGGTGTGCCCAGCAGACCGAAGATACCAGGGTTACGGTGGTGGAGGGGCCGCATGGCGTTGAAGAGGTGCGTTATCATACTACATCCTGCTTTTACCGCGGATTTCGCCTCTTCGTAGGTCGCTTCTGAGTGACCGATTGAGACGCGGATGCCGGCGCTGGTTAGGGACGGGATGCATGGTAGTGCGCCGGGGAGTTCGGGGGCGAGTGTGATTAGGGAGATGGGCGAGGGGGAGAGCAGGTTCGGGGCCCCGTAGCAGGATTCTAGGCTGCTGATGGAGTTGTCTACCCCAGGGGTGCGTAGGACGGAGGTGTTGTGGATGCCGTTTTTGGTGGGGGACAGGAACGGGCCTTCGCAGTGGGCGCCCAGGGATTCTGATCCGAGCGTTGCGTCGCGCGATGTTCCTGAGGGGCCGAGCAAGGGGAGGGCGGTTTGGTAGACTGAGGGGAGTTGGGAGGTGAGGGTCGGTAGGTAGGATGTTACGCCTGTTGCTACCAAACTCCGGTTTACACGCGAGACGCCTTTGGCGTAGGCTGAGGCGCCGCCTTCGTGGTCTGAGGGGATTACGGAGAAGTCGAAGCCGTAGGCACCGTTTAGTTGCGTGTCGATGAGACCGGGGCAGAGGATGCGCCCGCCTGGGGAGGTTGACGTACGAAGTCAGTATGTGTCTCACATGTGCTGCATACAGTCAGAGCTTACCTAAGTCGACGATTTGCTCGGGAGCGGCACGGTACGAGTACAGGATTTCTTGGCCGTTCAGGATCTTTCCGGTGGCGGAACTGATCCAGAGATCTTGGGGGACTAGAGCGTTGTTTTTTACGAGGAGGCAGTTTGTGAACTTTATCACGCCTGATGAATCATCTCGTATGGGGGAGTCGGGGATTGGCACGATTGAAGGCATCGTGGGTCGTGTCAAGAGGACTAATGAATGAACGAAGCTTGCCAAGTATAAGAATAGAAATATAGAGATGTGATTCAGAAATGAGAATGATAGGATGGTTGGTACTGCGCAGGCGCGACTCAACAACCGTTGCAAAGGATCTGTCGCCTACCTACTACTTCTATCGCAACTGTATACCTACGCTCATCTTCCTACGATGATGCCATTGAGTCATCACTTGCGGGCAAACTTGCCTTCCATGGCCGGTATCGTTGCCGTGGAGCGCACGCTGTAAGACTGCACAAGGTGACTGGATGTGGATTCCGACGTCGTGAGATCGAGGTAACACAGCGATGATCACATTCCGCCGAAGAAACCGGATGGATTGCGGTTGCATGTGAGGTGGCATCAGAGTGGATGTCGCTGATAGCAGAGGGACGAGGATGGTGTAACGACGGACAGGGGTGCATGCTTCTAGCGCCTCGCTAATCACGTACCCCAGCCGCGAACAGCGTGAATGCTACGGTGCCATCCTCCCCATCTCCCATCCACCATTACCGATCTGCGAGTCACGCCGGCGGAGTCTTGGTGCCCACCCGGAAATCCCACGTCGCATCCACAAACTTCATTGCGACGCGACGCGACCGGCGCTGTCATTATGAGCAAGGTCGAAAACATGGACCCTGTCTGGGATGACCTCGATAGGTGAGCTTCGCGTCGGGCGCATTTCCTCCCCTCAGGCTTCCTGAGTTTTGCGCAATGTGACCACAGGTCAGGCTAACTTGCCCGTGATGCAGGACTATGGTGGGTCGCTTCCGCCCATGCTGCGACTGGATTCGCTGACAAAGGTGCTGTAGGGCCAACTGTTCATGATGGGCTTCGATGGCACCTCGGTCACTCCTCACATTCGTACCCTGATCGAGGAACATCATGTTGGCTCCATACTACTTACTGCCAAGAATTGCAAATGTTGGCTATCCACCTTTTTCGGTCTGTCATTGTCAGGCTGACCTGTCATAGCCGCCGAAGATACTACTGCGCTTATCTACGAGCTCCAGAAGATTGCCCACGATGCTGGACACCCTGTTCCGCTGGCCATCGGCATCGACCAGGAGAATGGCGGCGTCAACAGCCTTTTCGATGACATCTACATCCGCCAGTATCCTAGTAACATGGGAATGGCAGCAACCGGCTCCACGGACCTAGCCTTTGAAGTAGCCAAGTCGACTGCACAGGAGATTGCAGCATGTGGCATCAACTGGATCTTCGGGCCATGTTTGGATGTACTCACGAACGCGCGAAATCAGCCTCTGGGGGTACGGACGGCTGGCGATGATCCTCAGGAGGTATCCGCCTTTGGATGCGCCTTTATGGCAGGCTACAAGGACGCTGGCGTGGTGACTTTGGGGAAGCACTTCCCTTCGTACGGCAATCTGGAGTTTCTGGGCTCAACACTTGACGTGCCGATCATCACGGAATCGCTAGAACAACTAAGTTTAAGCGCTTTGGTTCCGTTCAAGAAGGCCATCGAAAGAGGTCTTGATTCCATGATGGTCGGTGGTTGCGCCATGTCCTCAGCGGGCCTCAACGCGATGCACGCGTGTCTGTCGGAACAAGTTGTCGACGACCTTCTTCGGAAAGACCTCAAATTCGACGGTGTAGTGGTTTCCGAGTGTCTAGAAATGGATGCTCTCAGTCACAACATCGGTGTAGGCGGCGGCACGGTCATGGCAGTTAACGCCGGCTGCGACGTAGTCCTCCTATGCCGGTCGTTCTCACTCCAACAAGAAGGGCTGAAGGGCCTCAAGACCGGCATAGAAAGCGAAATGGTCTCGAAGGAACGTATCTTCAACTCACTCAGACGTGTGCTGGCGATGAAGAAGAAGTGCACATCCTGGGAAAAAGCATTGAACCCGCCAGGTATCAACTATCTGGAAAAGTTACAGCCTTCGCACACCGCACTGTCAACGAAAGCGTACAACAGCTCCATCACAGTCGTACGCGACAAGAATAGGCTTCTGCCACTGACGAACATACTCGAAAGCGAGGAGGAGCTTCTCCTACTGACACCATTAGTGAAGCCTTTGGCGGCATCCGCTGCATCACGAGCTATATCCGACGCTGCCAATGGGGCAGCGGGTCACTCGCCCGAGCCAGCTGCTTGGGACCGGAGTTCTTCAGTCATGAGCGGAGAAAGAGTCTTCAAAGAACTGGGTCGTTCTCTTGCTAGACAGCGCAACGGACGACTGCTTCACACATCGTACACTGCGAACGGTGTCCGTCCAGTTCATGAAAACCTCATCAATCGGGCGAGTGCTATTATCGTCCTTACGGCTGACGCAAACCGCAACCTGTATCAGCACGGATTCACAAAGCATGTCTCAATGATATGCAACATGCAGTACACAACTGGTGGAGAGAGGCGTGAGAAACCACTCATTGTGGTCGCAGTCTCCTCACCGTACGACTTCGCAATGGACAATACCATTGGGACCTACATATGTAAGTCATGTCCGTGTCCAAATGGGGTCAGACAAGCTAATCTCATCAGGCACTTATGACTTCACCGAGACTGCACTCAACTCTCTAGTCAGAGTACTCTACGGCGAATTATCTCCCTCCGGAACGCTACCAGGAACCATCAGCAAGAGCCAAAAGCTTCACCCATCCAAACAGCATTGGTTGGTCGAAATATTTAACGAAGAGCGAGACAGTAATGCTCTGGATACATTGGTCGCAGCTGTCGCGGAGGAAACGGCACCAAACCAGCGGTCGGAGATGTCGAGTGCAACTTCAACCTCATTCATCCTGCATCACCCAGAGGTGGAGGAGTCACATTTTGTTGTTAGAAACAGCAGCACACAAGCTCTGTACGGCTTCTGCTCAACGTACTTCTTCAAGGCTACGGGTACTGGTGTAATTGGAGCTTTGTTCGTCGACCCAGCAAGGAGAAAGCTCTCCATCGGCCATTCCCTACACAATCGGGCTATTCGCACGCTGTTGCAGAAAGAAGGTATCAAGAGATTCCAGCTTGGATCACGCCTGCCAAGTATGTATCTTGGAATCCCAACCGGACACGGAAACGAGCGGAAACGGCTCCGATCATGGTTTGCACAGCTAGGCTGGGGTGCTGCACTTTCCCGTCCTGTCTGCAACATGGTAGCGCGCAATCTGCAGACGTGGAATCCGCCGACTGGCATGGCGAAAAGTCTAGCGAGCGCAGGCGCACAGTTTGATCTTGTGTACGGGTGGGACTACGCGGGACCGATACTCGACCATATCAAGACGAGCAACCGCCAGGGTCTAGCAGAGGTGTACAAACTTGCGCTTACGGACCCGACGGCTTGTGGCATCATCCGAGCCAAGCGACCAGAAGACGGTGCGTTGGTGGGCACTGTCGTGCTATACAACAACCACTCACGACTTGCCGAATACATACCCCCACTGAAGGACCTGAACGAGGCGGCTGGGGGGATCTCTTCGCCCGTCATATCACCTGGTGTAGGAGAATACTCGACACTACTGCAGGGGCTGATCCTACTCGGCATGCGACAGATCAAGCAGCTGGGATGCAATGCATGCTTGCTCGACTATGTAAGTAGCCGTCTAATGCTGGTCACGACAAGGTACTAACGCAAGTAGATGGACGGTGACGGCAACTTCGACGGCTTCTCGGCAATGGGCTTCGATGTCATGCACAACTTTGAGGAAGTCAGCTGTGATGCTGCGACCTGGACCATGATCCCGCCTGCTTGATTGCTCGGTACCTCTGCCAGATACTCATGTTCCTGGCGACTTCGGTTCATAATGTTTTGGTCGGTGTTTGGGGGTTATTTTGGGTGCGTGTGCTAGTTGCCTTTTGCTCTCCGGGATTGACTGGCATCCCATTGGTTACTTGTATCGCTCGTACCATCATCTGATGTCATACCATGCAAGCACCCTTCAGGTCGTGGGCCGTATGTACTCGGATCGGATGGTTTTCTCAAAGGGTCCGTCGGCGTTTCCGTGTATCTCGTGCTTGTCCTGCATGCATACCGCAGGATGATAATCCCAACCATTACACCCAAAGATCAGCGGTCTCTCATGCTGCAGCCCGTGGTTCTTGATGTCTGCATCATCAGCTCTGCCGTCTGATTCAGTCTCACGGTCGCTGAAGGCCTCGAAGGAGCTGCCCTTCCGACGCGCTCACTCGGCTGATCCCGCCCTGTCGCAAGGCGATCCGCGAGCTTTGGCCTGGTAGAGCTGCTGCGCCTCTCCGCTATCGAATCGATAGGCATGGCAGATTTCGATAGACAAGCATAGAATGCAGACACAGATGTCCTCCGTGTAGGCGACATCGGATTAGAGGTGCTTGAGGCTTTCAGGGTTATTTTTACAGCTGAAGAGCGGGTCCATAGCTAGAGTAGGAGACGCCACTGGGGGGGATGGCGTAGGATGATCACCGTTCGGCTTGACCCTTCGAGAAGCCCTACCGAAGGAGTCAGCGTGCCAGCGCTGTGTGTCTCGTAGATCATAGCAAAGATATACAAAGTGTGCCTGGGAATCTCTGGCATCGTGGCCTGGGGTAGTCAAGCTTATCCTTCCCGTCAAAATCCCCTACCGAGCCCCACAGCAGACGGGACCCTTTGTGCAGCGCGCCTATCCGACCGTGGCCAGAAGCGCATGTGATGCAGATGCATTGTCGCACAACCTCAGCAAGACAGCTACGAAGGCCATCGCTTGGTCTTGTTCCCGCGAGCCACCGCTCCAAGCCCTGCTGTGCGGTCTAGTCCGGTGTCGCTCCTCGCTGTACAGTGCCAGCGCGCACGCAGTCTCGTCCCCCATCTTCTCCGCTCGCTCGCCTTGCCGCATCTCTCCACCTCGACAACCCCAGAGCCCCAAGCGTTCCCGATTCAACACCACCACCCGCCGACGGCCACTCCCACGTGCCTGCCACTGCATCCTCGGTCGCGCCTTCCTCGTCGCCGCGCCATAGCTGTTGTTGCGCGTATGCGCCGATTCGGAAGCGACCTCTTCCTCGACCTGGGCCAGGCTGCACCAAGCCATGGAGCACTTCAACACCAACACCATGTCGTACATACCGCTCCAGACCGTCACCGGCCCCGACCAGCAGATGGCCATGCCGCTGCCGCTACAGTATGACCAGCGCTCCAACTTCGACGCCGAGACCTTCATTGGGTAGGTGCAGTGCGCGACACCTGCCTGACAGCTACTGACATGTTTGCGCAGAAGCGAGGACGCCTACTCGACATACCACCTCCAGCAGATGCCCCCACAACTCAAGCGCTACCCCAGCACATACGAAGACCCCTTCTCCGACGTCCAGAGCGGCTACGAGCAGTCGATACACCCACACGATCAGAATGGCGTGCCGGAGAGTCCCAGCATCGAGAGCAACAACAAGCTCCTCAGCTTCTCGCTACCCGTCGTACCGTACACCATCCTCACATATGCTATGCAAAGGGTGTCAATATCAATGTCGGCACAGCTGCACGGCATGTTCTTTCTGGCCGAATCACCCTGGGCAACCGCAGCTGATGTGCAGGCGCCGTCGGAATTGACTTGCTACCGGAGGAACCTCTTCCAGATCACCGGCACCATCACAATTCCCCGGAGTCTGCAGTTCCTCATGACCGACCAAGGCGACCAAATACCGATTCTTGGCCAAGAACTTACCATTTCCGCAACCGAATCACTCGAGGGCAATCCCGTAAAGATAATCTCGGTCCCGTGGAAGACGCCGGCCACGGGTAGTACATCGACCGAAGACAAAACTGAGAAGGAGCCACCGACATATCCACTCGATCTGTCGACCGGACAGGACATGGACTCGGAGTATGTTAGTTTCCCTATCAGTTGGAAGCGACTGCAGTTCCGGATAGCGACTGCAAACAATGGGAGGAGGAAGGAGCTACAACAGCACTTTGTTGTACGATTGAAGGTGATAGCAACTCTCGCTAGTGGTGTCAAAGTACCAATATGCGAAGTACACTCTGGTGCAATTATCGTGCGAGGAAGAAGCCCGCGCAACTTCCAGGCCCGCAAGGACCTGCCCATCAGTGGCGGTTCAACAGCACGCAAAGTGCACACTCCGCAGCAACCCAGCAGAACGCCAACTGGCGACACGAACCAGAATACACCGAAGCAAACACCCAACCCACCTGCGACATCGTCCAAGCCCATGGACTTACTCCAGATGCCATTTGAGTTCACTGCAAACGAAATGCCGCCCTCTCCAGACTTTGACTGGAAGATACCAGCAGGCGCCATGACAGCGATACCTCCCGATCCGCCTTCATCCCAACTCCAACACGCCACACCCTACGCCCAATCGACACCCGAGATCTCACGAAGCGTGCCCCCGCATCGCGCATCTATAGCCCCCGTCACCCTCTCCCTCACCGACGATGAGCCTCAAAAAGCACCGTCACCCAACGACCACCAAAGAAAACGCGCGACACCTATGCGACCCCCGTCCTTTTCCATCGGCATCATCAACAGTCCAGATGAGAGTGCTGATCTCCTCTATGAATACTTCCCGCTTGGTCTGGACGATTGGATGCCGCCCGTTGATGCTGTTTATCGTCCGCATGTTGTTCATCACATCACGCCCTTTCCGCAGGACTCCAAGGCAGATGCAGGGAAGAGTCGGTCGAAGAGGTATTTTTCGGATGCCTGGGGTTGAGGGTTGGTGCTGTAGGTTCTTTTTCTTTGTTATGATACCCTTTGCGTTGATTCGTTTGGATCATTTTGTAATACTTTTATGAGGAAAAGAATGGCGGTTGGTACAAAGAGTTCTATCTAGGTACGGAAGAGTCTTGGGTTGGGAATTTGGGGCCTTTGAATAAGAGGAGGCAGGTATAAAGCTGGGCGTACACATGCGCCACGGACTGGGCGTTCACCTTACCATTATGGCACTCTGTGATTGTTATTTGAGTTATGCTGTGCCGTCATGACACGGTGAATGCCCAGTCCGTGGCACGACAGCTTTCGGCCTACCGTCACATTTCTTGGACCTTATACGACGGCGATACTTACCCCTTCTCGGCACGTTATTACTATACCATTCTGTTCTCATGTCACATTACTCCCAACTGTATCCATATCTACGTATTCATCAAACATCTCCTGATATTCACTCGGCCTTTCATCTCTCGCGACACTTTCCCACTGGCGCAACGTCACCTCGTATATGTCGTCTCCCTGTCACGGCGGCGTCCCTGTCGCTTACTCACCATGAGTAGACACGATACACAACATCCACACCGCAGGAATGTAACGATAGCAACCCCATCAGCACCTCGTCAGCGATCGGCGAGGTAGTAGACTACAACCTTCCCTATCGAAGAAACATGACGTCTACATGGCACATGTCACATCGCATCGCACCCACAACCCCAGATCTACCGACCTCGCCGACGTAGTCGCAGTTACAGACATGCATCTAAACCACGCACTGCAACGCCACCGTTACCGTTACCGTTACCGTTACCGTTACCATCCACCCAACCCTACTGCAACTTACCACTCTACGCGCATCCACCCCTCATCGTTGCCGACGTCGTCTTGCGTCGTGCCGCACCGTGATATCTCTGGGCTTAGTTTTCGACCGAGTTCGGGGTTGATCGTTGACATTGACATTGACGTTGACGTTGGCGTTGATGTTGGGGTAAGGATTGGAGTAGGATTGGGGTGAGGGGTGTGGAGGAGTGGAGGAGTGTAACAGTAGCATTACATTGCATATGCCAATCCCCATTACCACCACTACCACCATTACCATCGTTATCAGCGGAAGAAATGCGTCTTCCGACCGGCCGAACATGTACCGTGAGAAATGCCGAAGATACAATCCCGAGACTTCCGTGAGAGGCGGGATGTTGTGTGATAGATAGACGGGTTTATCACGATGTAGCATTCGGGATACAAGACTGAATTGATAAAGACTGAATTGATAGCGCATGCCACCATATACTCCCTTGCCCTCAAAAAGGGTAACGACTAGCAACCTCGGGAAGTGGGTCCAGCATCCTTCTGAACTATTGCGCAATTTCACAGTTTGCAGATTTCGCAGTAACGAGTACCCACCACGTGGCTTATCGTATCTCATTACCCTGGCATCCTACTATGTACCCCTACATCCACATACTGCCTATCTACGTTACGTTCTAGAATCCTTTTTCGGTTTTCTTCGGTTGGCGGAGACTCGGTACCGAGTTGGGTTTGGTCTGGTTTGGTTTGCCCCGTTTTGCTTGACAGGGGTTGGAGACGCGGTATTGGAAGGTGGGTAGGAGGCGCGGTGCGTTGTGGGTAGGCAGGTGGGTAGGGTAGGAGTGGGCTTGCGTTTGGTGGAAGATAGGGGTGGAGGTTGATTACGTACGATTATCGTATTTGGGTGTTCTAGAAGGACGAGTGCCGGTTTGTGGTGTTGTCTGGATTTGGTGGTTGAACCCGTTGTTGCTCGTATGCTCTTCCGTCTGTTCTTGGGAAGAAGGTTGCATCACGTGCTGAGCATGAAGAATGAGGGAAGTTGGATTAGAACATGTTTCATTAGGTCGTGCGCAAGCTCGAGAGCATGCGATGCCATGTATCCTCAGAAAACGCCAAAAGGGAACCGTGTAATGAAGCTCCCCGTATGCTCTTCGTAAACGTCTCCATGCTGGGCTGTAAAGTGTTTCTAAATTGGAAGAAGAGAAGGAAAGAAGATCTTGAGAATGTATGTACAATGATGTTGCTAGAAGGGTATGAAGTCAAAATGC